CATTTTAAATTGCTGCTAAACAATGCTGGCTTCAGCTCTGGTCCGTCTAAGTCTGTTGTTGAACTTTTCCCCTCATTGCGTAACAAAGTGAGTTGCATTCTGTTGTGCGGTTGTGAGTGAAACAGACATGAAAATTGCATGTTAATGACATGCACTGATCACGTATGGAGATCATCCATATTATCTCTATCTCAGGTACATAAGTGGTCCCCCATTATTTAGTAGTTGAACGCCTCACCATCTTTGATGCCTTTATCCTCGCAACACCCATGTGAGGTAGGGAAATACTGTCTGAAACCTGCTGTCTCCCCAAGTAGGGGGTGGCTGTTATGAAGGGGAGGACTACACCAGGAGGGATGAGAAATGGGGGCCGACTTACAGATGTGCATATGGACCTGGGTTGCCTTAATTCAGCCCTGTTCTTTGGGTTATTTAAATAAACAGTAGTTACTACGTCTTGCATTTGGATTTCTGCTTTAGCTGAAAGATGTGCAAAACCACAGACTGCATCCTAGACCCTGACCCCCTGGATCTCAATGGCAAAACTCCCACTGACTTCAAGAATGCAGAATCAAGCTCCTGTTGAATATTTAATTGAAGAGGCTTCTGTGTGACATGTATTTCAGCAAGCGTATGACATACTCTGCACTTGTAAAATGTGGTCCTGAGTGGATACAGTGGTGGTATCTTGAGAAAATCTCTTATTTCTGGCTAAACCTCTCCTTATTTGTGTGATCTTACAGCAACAATCCATGAGAGATGCCTGACCTAATACACTGTGGGGGCTTGTCTTCAGTATGAAACAAAGGTGTGTATTTAACTCAAGTTAGCTGACAAGTGGTGAAGACAAGGCGGTTTGTAATTTTCACATGAGTTAGCAGGTCAAGTTAAAGAGTAGGGACCTGCTAACTCATGTGAAAACTACACTTTGCCTTGTCCTCTTTAGGATTTTACCTAGTGTTACCAACCAAATGTTAACAAAGTAGAGTTCAGAACACACCTTCTTCCTAGTGGAGACAAGGCCTAGTAGATGGATCACGTATCCACAGCTGAGATCAGGAGCGAGTACATGGGTGGAAGGATAGCAACACATTACCATTGACTCCAATGCTAACAAATAATGCTTATTCTTAGCTGAAATATCAGGACCCAACAGCTAAGGTTGTTTATTTTTCTCATGGTGCTAACCACAGGTCTAATGTCATGTCTGGTAGATCAATCTCCAAGAAGGCTCTTCTGAACTGGCCAGCGAATCACTAACTGGGTTAACCACTACTGCAATCTCTGCTTTAGCAATACCTATTATAGAACAAAGTGAGTAACAGACTTAGAGACACCTAAATGAAGATCCATCTTTTAAAGAATGGATTTAAAATAGGGCATAGATATGGGTTAAACATGGAGCATAGTTGCATGGATATGGAAACCCAATCAACAGGAAGATCTATGTACACCTTGTCAAAACAAAAAAGAGCATCATATTGCAGCTAGTGTGCTGCTATCACACCATATAGAGATACAGCTATCTTTTTGTATTATGGGCTTTATACTAACAGAGGGCATAATAACAAGCCCTAAGTTTATTGTTCTATTTCACTATGTTCTGAATATAGCTGACCATAAATCAAGTCTTATGGTTTCCATCAATTTTTTGAAAAATATGGATTTGCTCAATTACGAATGAAAGTGTTAAAAATGAGCTTTAATTGCAAGACAACTTTCAAGTGCAGTTATATATACATACAAAGTACTCCACATATACACATGTACCTAGGCAGAACTGCTATGATAAACGTATTAAAAATCTCAGCAGTGGTTATTCTTAATAGTAATTTATTAACTTCAAATTTTAGGAAAATGAGGTAGAGTGAGGAGTAACCATGACTTACTTTTCAAATACTAATCAGGTCAGGTGTGTGGGGCAAAATTAGCTCCCAGGTCAAAGATTCACAGATTGCAAGGCCAAAAGGGACCATTATGATCATCTAGTCTGACTCCTGTATAGCACAGCCCATGGAACTTGCCCAAAATAATTCCTAGAGCAGATCTTTGAGAAAAACATCTAGTCTTGATTTAAAGATTGTCAGTGATGGAGAATCCACCACAATCCTTGGTAAATTGTTACCCCTTATTTCTAATCTGAATTCATCTAGCTTCATCTTCCAGCCATTTGATCACGTTATACTTTTCACTGCCAGACGGAAGAGCTCATTATTAAAGATTTGTTCTCCATGTAGATACTTACAGACTGTAATCAAGTCACCCCTTAACCATCTCTTTGTTAAGCTAAATAGATTGAGCTTTTAAATCTATCACTATATGTAGGGCCCTACCAAATTAACAGTCCATTTTGATCAATTTCATGGTCATAGGATTTTAAAAAATCGTAAATTTCATGATTTCAGCTATTTAAATCTGAAATTTCACAGTGTTGTAATTGTAGGGATCCTGACCCAAAAAGGATTTGGGGGGGTGTCACAAGGTTATTGTGGGGGGGTTGCAGCAACGCTCCCCTTACTTCTGCACTGCTGGTAGCGACACTGCCTTCACAGCTCAGCAGCTGGAGAGCAGTGGCTGCTGGCCAGGCGCCCAGCTTTGAAGGCAGGGCTGCTACCACCAGCAGCGTAGAAATAAGGATGCTATGGTATCGCCACCCTTACTTCTGTGCTGCTGGTGGGGTGCTACTTTCAGAGCTAGGCGCCCAGCCAACACTCGCTGCTCTCTGGCCTCCTAGCTCTGAAGGCAGTGAAGTAAGAGTTGCAGTACTGCGACCCCCTAAAATAACCTTGCAACCCCCCTGCAACTCCCTTTTCGGTCAGGACCCCGAATTTGAGAAACTCCAGTCTCCTCTGTGAAATCTGTATAGAATAGAGTAAAAGCAGACAAAAGACCAAAGACCAGATTTCACGGCATTTTTCATGGCCACGAATTTAGTAGGGCATTTTTTCTAATCCTTTAATCTTTCTTGTGGATTTTCTCTGAAACCTCTCTAATGTATCAACATCCTTCTTGAACTGTGGGCACCAGAACTGGACATCAGCGGTTGCACCAGTGCCAAATATAAAGGTGAAATAATCTCTTGATTCCTACTTGAGATTCCCCCCGTTTCTGCATCTCAGGATGGAATTAGCTCTTCTGGCCAGTGTGACGCTTGGAACTCAGATTCATATGATTATCCACCACAACCCCCAAATCTTTTTCAGAATCACTGCTTCCCAAGATACAGTCCCTCTACATTCTTTGTTCCTAGATGTATATATTTATAGTTAGCCATATCAAAATATATTATTTGCTTCCACCCAGTTTAACAAACAATCCAACTCGCTTTTTAAAAAAAAAAGCCATCAAGTTACTTTGACTGGGTCTATTTTCCATAAACCCTCCTTGATTTGCTTTAATTACATTATCCTCCTTTAATTCTTTATTAATTGAGTCTCGTATCAGCCACTCCATTATTTTGCATGGGAACAATATCAGACCGACGGGCCTGTAATTACTCAGGTCATCTCATTACCTTTGTTTACACCTGTACATCTTCACTGATGCCAATGGGGTTATATGAGTCTAAAAAGAGCATAATTAGATAGACCATCATATAATTGCCAGTGATTTTGGAAAAAAGTGATACTGGATTATTTTTAGTTTGCTTTTCAGATCTTCTTTTAACTGATTATGCAATGAACACGTTTGCAATTTGTTACACAGCCCCCCTACCCATATATTTTAAATGTTTTGCTTGCATGGCCAGTTGGGCAAAGAGAAGTGCTTTGCAGCGTTTTAGCTTTAATTCACCCTGAGGAGCATTGACAATAATTCTGAGTTTGAGGAACAGTCATCACTCGAGAGCATAATTTTATTTCTTCAGAAGTCTCTCCTTTGTTTGCCCTGCAAAAAGTGAAAGCAAGGCTTTCTTTGAGCTCTTATGCAGACAGCTTTGAGAACGTTTTCTTTAATACTGCATGAAAGGTCTTCCCCACTTGAAGCATAATAATGTGCTTAAAATATACTTAGTAATACCCTCTGGCTAAGAAAAATGTTTCCAACTCCTATACTTAAAAAAAGAAAATATCCATTTAGAAGCTTATTTTGACTTTTTGCCCAGGATCAATTGCAAAGTGCTTCTGTTTAGAAAGGATAGTTCAGCCAAAATTCAACTTGTTTTTCAGGACTAAGGAACTTACAAAAAATAAAAACCATACTAAATAAATCAGAATTCTGCTTTATTCCATAAAAGCATGTGTGTGTGTGCGTGTACAAGCTAGCACCTCCCGGTCAGGAAAATTTTCCTGTAGCACTCCGTACTCGAACCCATATCTGGCATCATGGTTACAAAGGAAGATTGCAATGCTGTAATAAGAAGGCACAGAATGAATACGCTGTGCTGATACCTTGGTAACTTTTCAAATAACTTTATGCCTAATCAGTTTCCACCAGTATTTGCAGTAGAGGCCCTGAATCTTCTCTCCCTTACATCAGTTTTACACTAATATAACTCCATTCATGTCAGAGTTGTGCTTAATTTACATCAGCAGCAGTGAGAGAAGAATCAGGCCCACTGGTCTTGAAAATAATCACATACTACATACCAATCTACCCATGAAAAAGGCACCTAAAATAGCCGGAAAGAAAAGCGATATTCCTCTTATTTCCCAGACCAGAATAAAACGTACAAAATTGAGAGAGAGTTAAGAGAGTGACCCTGTGGGGTGCTCAGTACGGTTAGTTTCAGATGATGTCGACAGGTGCTGAGGATGCTCGGTACCAGAGATGGTAAAAAAAAAAAACAAAAAAACAACCACCACACAAACAAACCAAAACAAACACCTCCCCCTCCCCCACAAATCACAATCCAGCCAATGGCATTGAAAAATTGCTTTTCAACAAAACATTTCGGTGAATTTTTTTTCCATTTCTCACAAAATTTTGTTGCAAACCTCAAAAAGCCTTTTTTGGGAGAGTGTGTGTGTGTGTGTGGGGGGGGGGGGGGTGGAGGGGTGCGGGGGCAGTTTTCCTAGCCAGCTGTCCTTTGCACCTCACAGGATCGGGTCCTGTCTGGCAAGTGTTGCATCCCACAGACTAGATTTTTCAAAAGCTCACCTCTAAATGTGTGTGCACAGCTGTGCAGGTACATTTCCCTGCCAGCACCGATGACAGAATATAGGCATCTGGCTAGAATTGTGGGTACATAGATTCCTTGGGGCAGTTTTCCAAACAGGGCATGTGTGCAAACGAATGTGTATGTGTGTACAATGACACACCTATCTAGTGCACCACAACTACTGGCAACTGAAGACATAAACTGAGTAACTGTATGCCGAAAGGGCCAATTTTTCATCTGCATAGGCAAATACTTGATTTGCATAAACATTTGTAGAAACAGTCAGCAAATCAGCTGTGCAACTGCATGCCTAATCTGCTAGAAAAGCTGGCTTTTAAATTCTATTGTTGGATACTGTTTAGTCCACAAAGTTAGAGACTGTGCTGAGATCCTTGAAAAACTAGGTTGGATTCTTGATGAGCAATGAAGATAGACCTAATTTTTTCTATTCATACTTGTTTCTCTGTCCATTGATTTCTACTTGCCCTTTGTTTCTCTGGTTCTTGGCCATCTCAACTCGCAAAGTCTGACCCCTGAGGCTTAAGCCTTTCAAAGAGGATACAACACTCTCAGCAGTCATTTTATCCATGTAATCAAGAAAAGCCCGGCCCTGTGCTCCCTGCCAACTGAGCCGCAACGGGGATGCATGGAATTCTCGTAAAGCACTTTTTAACTCACTCACTCTTGTGCCTGGAGGTATATTACCTACATAGACAGTGGTGAGTGCACCATGTGTCTCTGATTTGGTACTTAAAGAATCATTTCCAACATGATGCTGTCTAATTTGGGCCGAGGTGGACTCGGTTTGCAGTTTTGTATTTCCAGTCTTGGCATTTTCATCGGAGTCTGCTGGTTTCCTGGCGTTTGGAAAGCCTGGATGTTCGTCTTTCAGGATAACATCTTGGCCTGCCTGCTTCTCTCTATAGCGAAGATTCTTTAGGATTGGGATTCTTTCCAGCATCTCGTAGCTGATCTAAAAAATTAACAGAAACAAGTTTGAGGGTGTTTTTTTTTTAATTAACCCAACATATAAGGTCAGACTCTGATCTCGTTTTGTCATCATCTTTCAAAATGCCCAGAGCATTCAACAAACTTTACTAACTGTGTGGCTGACTTCTGAAGTTACTCCATAAACATACGTGGCAGGGCAACAAAAAACACTGGTCACTATGCAGGCTGCACAATGCAGATCCAGCAGAAAATAACCAACCAACCCAGAGCTACTGGACTTTGGAATTTGCTGACTTGTGCATGTTCGGATTTGCAACCTTAATGTTGCATCAGTAGAAGATTCTGCATATGACGTATATTATGTGTGTTAAAAATCTAACACGGACTGCATCCCCCATGCTTCCCTCATGGAAATTGGCCGAAACTGTGTTAACGTTTTTCTCTGACAAGTCACCTGGCCCTGCCCCCAAAATTTCTCTTCCATCATTTCTTCCCATCACAGGCACAGCCCCCTTTCTGTTGCACTCTGAGTGGTCTCGCGTGTTTTCCTCTCCCCATCCCTCTCAAAGTCAGTGGGGTGGGGATGGTCTTCTCCTTCCCTGCCAGGATCTTTAGGGGCAGCTGGGCTTTAGAAAGAGGCCTGCTCTCTCTCCATCATGCCCCAGTTATCATAAGCCTCATCAGCAGAGGTCCAGGAAAGACTCCTATTCTCACTGCTGAATGCTACCAGTCTGGGCCATGAAAGGGCCTAGGCTGCAGCCCACGACTCAAGAACTCTCTAGTTACTGTATAACATGGCTGGGCTCTCAGCCTCTGAATTGTAGCAAAGCCATTGCAGTAGCTGGAAGGAAAAGGGGCATTGCTTGCTTGGCTGTTGATGAGGTTGCGGACAAGCAAGATGTTTACCTTCCAGGAGATCTGCCCCCCGAAATTAGTGGGGTGCCAGGGCACCTTGTTGACTCCACCTCAGTGAACTTCAAGGGAAAAAGGGCCAGCCAGCTGCCAAGAAGTTGCTGGTGGTAGATGAGAGCAGGTTGGGCACCAAGGCCCACCTAGGGTATAGGGGAGGCAATTCAGCAGAGGTCTCTCCAGTGTTTGCACATGCCTCTGCAGGATTTCAGGTTTGTGAACCTCAAAGAGTTTTACTTTCAGGCTCAGACCAAAAGTCAGGCCTGGTTTCCTCTTGTTTTGGCTTGTAAAAGGTTCGTGCCGGGGCTCGACCCTCCGGGGCAGGAGGGGAGCCACACCGACTCCCTACACACGAAACAAAACAGCCGGCTAGCCCGGGTTTCAGACCCTTCGGTGCAGGGCTGAGTAGTCCACAGGCCGTCCAGTAGCCCAGGCCCTCTGGTGCAGGGGGCGGGGGCAACAAACAGTTCAACAACCCAGGCCCTCTGGTGCGGGGGCTGGGTAAATAGCAGTTCAACAGCCCAGGCCCTCTGGTGCAGGGGGGCTGGGGCAATAGTAGTTCAACAGCCCAGGCCCTCTGGTGCAGGGGGCTGGGTAAGTAGCAGTTCAATAGCCCAGGCCCTCTGGTGCAGGGGGGCTGGGGCAACAGCAGTTCAATAGCCCAGGCCCTCTGGTGCAGGGGGGCTGGGGCAATAGCAGTTCAACG